CGGATCAAATCGATTCCTGAGGTATGGTGCTCCGGACGGAAGAGGAGAAATATTGAGATTCTGACGGTGTGATGTTCTATCAGCGCGACCCGAGCGACACGGCCTTGAATGAACTGGAGGAATACCAACGGGCGAAGCAGATCAAGCTGCCGAGCCAAGTTCCAGCGAGTGCAGGTGGTCTAAACAAGACGAGTAGGTTTCCCACCGACCCGACCCATCGACGCACATCACTGATCGCTGTTACCGGCAGACTGGGAACTGGAGATTCGAAAACGCTACGCGCAACCCTTGGCTTCGGAAACCGGCGAGTTTCCAGACGCTGAATCCATCTACGCGCGCATGACACCCATATGCTACGAGGAGTCGGTAGTAAGCGGGGCCGGCTTCCCCTGCGCCGAAGTCATGGCGATTGCCACGGAGACCTTCGTGAAGGAAGTGCTATCGGTCGTCTTCTCCCGGACGAGATCCAACGGCCCCTCGGGCACCATCAACGGCATGATGATGCGGAAATACCGACAGCAACTCGAGCAAGAAGAGCTATCGTTTACGCGTGGGGAGATCGTCAAAGACGGCGCTACCGGCTTGCTTCCCGTAGAAGCCAAGGAGGCCAGCGTCCGAAAACCCCTGGGGGTTCGCGATCTCCGACTGGCCCTGGAGATTGGAAGCGGTGTCCTCAGCCATATGCCCCTGATCGTGGACCAGATCATGGGTGGATACCTCGAGGACGAGCTAGAAACGGATCGACAGGACCGGGGGGATGAGCCCACGGTGGATATCAACAACAACAACCGCGCCGATCCGAGACCGAACAACCACCATTCGGATGAGATGGACGTGGATGATTCGGAAGAGGACTGGGAGGGGGGCACGATGGCTGATCGCGATCAATTGGGGTCATTACTTGACGAGTGCCTTTCCATTGCTTCGTGACCTCTCTTTCCCTCCCTTTCTTTCTCGATCTTTCTTTCTTTCTTTCTCTTTCTTCGACACCATTATTCCCCTCGGTTTTTTTTTTATGCTTTTATCTTTCTCCCTCCCTCCCTTCCTTTTTTTCTTTACTTTACATCTATCCTATTCAAGGGATCAAACGAAAGACTGCCAGCATTTCCAGTCTGGTGTGTGCGGGGGATATAACCATCTATGGCTTGGGTTTCTTTCTTCCTTCCTTTCATCCTTTCAAAAAGGCGTCTCGGGAGTAATAGCGGACAGACAGGGTTAGGGTTGGTTGGGTTGTCGTCATTGAAAATGACATATTGACTTGACTTGACTTGTATATTGCATATGGCAGGGAGTTAACTTATTATTGAAAGTGTTATACTTCCTTTCTTATCTTTGTCTTTATTTTTACGGTCTTTTGATTGACTCAATATATATATATCTATATATACCTATGTATATCATCCTTGTGCTGTATGGGGTAAAATTGGTAGACACTTTGAGTGGAAGGATCAATTGTGAATGAATGGCTAACTGATTAATGATGTGACTGATCACTGATAACTCTATTCTCCAAGAAGATCTATTCTGAATTGACATACTTTATAATCCCTTCGCAAACAAAACAAATCTATCAATCCATTTAGATTATTGACATTCATTGAATTATTGATTGAATCCTTGTTATTTTCTCTAATGATATCTCCTCAGCTCCACAACGCCTAGTTGGTTCAAAGCCCGTACAAGTTCAAGGCACAGATAGATACGCGTGAAATCCAAGCTAAAATACAAGTAGTGCCATGGAAGTAAATCAGTTCAGTTGGTCCGCTACCATCTTGAGAATCTCCTCTGTCGATTTCCGTGCGTTGGCTGGCTCCTTGGCGATGGATTGCCAGATCTCGCCGTGTTTGGGCTCCGTCGAGATGCACTTGGATACTACGTCTGCGCGTTTTTCCTGGTTGGTGTTAGTTACGATGGATGTGCGGTTTGAAGGGCATATATAAAAAGAGGGAGGAGGAGGCGGAGGAGCAAGAGAAGGAGAAGAAGAAAGGGGACTAACCTCGGTTCCATGCTGTAGCAAAAACTTATAATACCAAGCCCATCCATCTCCAAGATCGCTATTGGAAACAATCGCCTTCTCGAACCACGTCATGGCTTTCTCCAGGCGTCGTTCGCCCCAGAATATCCGCGCCACGGTGATGAACAAGTTCGGATCGTTATCGGCCTTCTTGATCGCTTCCAAGCTGCGAGCTTTCCGCTGCGCGCGTGGCTCAAGGTGCCAGATGCTTTCGCTCCATAGTAATCCTGATCCTGATGCAGGGACTTCCTGTAGCGCCTTGGCCATCAGAACCTTGGCCTGGGCGATGTTGTTCGCGCGCCGTTCGACTCTTACGCTCTCTGTCCACAGCTCGGGGTTCTTGGGGACGGCTAGACGGGCTCGATCGAGTACCGAACGGGCCTTGACCACCGCGCCGGCTTTCTCTTCAAGTCTCGAGGCGAGCAGCCACAGAGGGACAGACTTGGGACAGGCTCGGGTGCCGGTGCCATACGCCTCTCGCGCTTGCGGGTACTTGTTCTGCGCTTCGTAGATCTGGCCTTTCATCATCCAGAGCTTGTCGGCCTTGGGGTAGAGCTGGAGCCCTTGGTTCACTAAATCAAGCGCCTCGTCGATGTTGCCCAGCTGCCGCTCGAAGGCGGCACTCTTGATCCATACACGATCAGTACCCGCTTCGCGACGAGCGGTAGAGAGCAACTCTCTAGCCTGCTCCGTTTGCTCCGCATCTGCTTCCAGTTTGACGGCAGCTAGCCAGATGTCTTCGTTGTTGGGGTTCTGGTTGAACGCCCGGCCCAGGACTCGACGGGCGTCGTCGATTTCGCCCGACTGCCACTTCTCTTTCGCGAGTAGCAGCCACAGCTCTTCGCTTTGCGGGCAGGCTTCCACGGCCTTCTCTAGAACTTGCCACAGCGCTTCCTTGCTGCCGTGGTTGCGCTCCAGATCGGCGGCAGCAAGCCAGATAGATCGGCGGTTGACGAACACGCGGAGCGCATAGGCGTAGATAGCCCTTGCGGTTTCGTACTTGCCCCTCGCGATGCTCGCCTTCGCGTCATCCATCCAGATGTCTTTTCGGTCGTCATCCTCATCCAGACCCCAGCCGAGCGTCTCGCGGATGATTGCGCCGCAGGTGAGGATGGCGCCCTCTTCTTCGCATCGCTCGGCTTCGGAGATCCACTCCTCCCGCTTGAGCATGGCGTTTTCCCTTGCAAGGGACTGGACAGCCCTCTTCATCACGTTCACTTTTTCAAACGTACCCATCTGTTCCTGGAGCCGTGCGGCGGCAATCCAGACTTCGTGGCTGGTGGGAACCGCCTTACGCGCGGTGTTCAGCACCTTTTGAGCCTTTTCAGGACTCTCCAGGCGGGCAAGCGCAAGCCACAGTTCAACGGAAAGAGGGATCATCTCGACGGCCTTGGCTAGAAGAAGACGAGCACTTTCGGGGTCATCCTCCAGGTTTACGGCTTCCTTCCAGATTGCCACGGATTGAGGAATGTGGAGGATGGCCTGTCGGAGTACATTCTTCTTCGCACGAACCTCCGACTCCAGCCGCATGGCTTCGATCCAGAGCCGAGTGGAGTGGTCGTTGTTCTTGATTGCATTGGCGGCGATAACCTTGGCGTTATGCCCTTCGTTGAGGCGAATGTTCTCAAGCCATGCGTCTTCGCTCTTCGGGCACAACTCACAGCCCTTGGCGATGACCGTCCTGGCAGCCACGATCCTGCCCGCGAGCTCCTCCAAACGCGACAAGGCAATCCAACCAGGCGCATGCTTCGGGTTGGTCCTCGTCACCGACTCCAGTAGAACCCGAACACGCTTGATGTCGCCAATCTCCACCTCTCCGGCTTTCATTTCCGACTGCGTAAGACTCGTAAGGTACCCCTTCGGATCGATGTTGGTCGCACTTCCAGACGCGGAGTCCCCGGATGACCCCATCGCCGCTTGGTCGAGCCTGACCTTGAGCACCTTGTCGCGAGCCGCGCTGATATCGGCAAAATTGGTCATCGTCCCATCCTCGGCGCGAGCTTCTTCATCTTCCACGGTGGTATTGAACTGCGCCGAGTCTCTCGCCCCGGCAATGACACTATCCGGCACCGCATAGAATCGTTGTCGGAGGTTCTGTTTCGCTCGTCGGTTCTTCCCCGTCAGATCTCCGACCTCGGGGAGATTGGCCCAGTCGTCTTCGGATACGGAGGCTAACGAGCGTTTTAGATCGGCGAACTGCTGCTGGATCTTCGGGTTCTGTCGTTCGTGTTCTTCTTGCTCTTGGCGCTCTCGAGCTTCCCTGTATGTGGCGAAGGAATCAAGTCGGTCTTCTGTCCAAAATACCGGGGGTGTGATCCCGATGAACAAATGGTTTGGTGAAAGGGGAAACAGGCAAGGAATAAAACTAACCTTCTTATCCTCCGTCGCTTATCCATCTTCTCGTCGACCTCCCTGTAGATCCGGTCCGCCTCATCGTCCTCCTGGTCAAACTGCCCGTAAGCAAAGAGTCCAACCTCGTTATCGGGGTCCTGGAACCGCTCGTCGTCGTCGTCGTTTTCTTCGGGCTTCTCCTCCTTCCCGCCTTTTTCGCGCCCGGCACCGTAGGCTGTCGGAGGCGCCGCTCCCAGTAACTGCGCTCGCTTCGCAAGCGCAGCCTGGATCTGTTCTGGCGTCGGTCCCTCCCGCGCCGGTCCCAGATCGGACCGTGTAGTGAAGCCCGTAGCACCTCTACCCAGGCCCGCCACATAATTCTCGGGAGCGGGCTGGCTGAGGAAATCCTGTCGTCCGGACGCCATCTTGGCCGACTGTAGATATAGACAATAGAAATCCAGACAAACCTATGCGACAGAAACGGCGATGGTGATTGCTGCTCGGGGAAACACTGGGGTCTTCTTCTCATCTCCAACAAGCATTGCGGTGGTCGCAAAAACCTAACTCCGACCCGCTAATCTTATCGCCCGTGATCCCCTCCGCATTATTTTTTTTTTTTTTTTCCCCCTCTAGAAAAGCTTCATCTCCGACTCGAATTCGAAGACGCGGGATAAGTCTCTAATTGGTAGACTCCGTGGAGACACTTACATTTCAGTTTATTTTCTCAATTTCTTAATCGCCGGCAAACCCAGTTCTCAGCACCATGCCGAAGGTGACGCAGAAAAAGCGTGGCAGCTCTGCCCAGAGCCCTTACGGGGACGCTACAGCAAAAGCCCGAGCTGCCAATGCTGTATTCAAAATGAACACCGACGTCGGCCAGCACGTCTTAAAGTAATGATGCTTCACCGACTCTGATATACATATGTGCTCTAGCTAACTACGTTTGTCAAGAAATCCAGGTAAGAGCATGCGACGAGTCGCAGCGCTGTATATGGCATATCGGCTCTAACTGATCGCACTTCAAGGCATTGCGGAGGCCATCGTCAAAAAAGCAGATTTGAAGCAAAGCGATGTAAGTTGGCATTGAGGAGTGCGCCTCTGGAGTTCGTCACGGGAGCGCACCCTTATCATTCCATTTCGTTGCCGCTGCTAACACCGACTGTTCGCGTCCCTCTAGGTCGTTTTGGAGATCGGTCCCGGTACGGGCAATCTTACAGTCAAGATCCTCGAAAAGGCGAAGAAGGTGATCGCGGTGGAATTGGACCCGCGAATGGCGGCCGAGGTCACGAAACGTGTGCAAGGGACGCCGGCGCAGAAGCGCTTAGATGTGATTCTGGGAGATGTGATGAAAACGGAGCTTCCGTTCTTCGATGTCTGCATCAGCAACACCCCGTACCAAGTGAGCTCTACAGGTCTAGTCCTCGTGTGTCCTCATGCCTAATTTCGTTGTTCAGATTTCGTCTCCCCTTACGTTCAAACTCCTCGCCACTTTGCCCGCGCCCAGGGTCTGCATCCTCATGTTTCAGCGTGAATTCGCCCTGCGACTGTTTGCCAAACCGGGCGACAAGCTCTACAGTCGACTGTCGGTCAATGCCCAGATGTGGGCTAAGATCGATCATATCATGAAGGTCGGAAAGAACAACTTCAAGCCCCCGCCGCAGGTTGAATCCAGTGTCGTCCGTCTGGTGCCCAAGAGTCCGAGGCCGCAGATCGATTACAACGAGTGGGATGGACTGCTGCGGATCGTTTTTGTCAGAAAGAACAAAACCATCCGGTCCAGTTTCCTCGGAACGACTTCCGTCATGGATATGCTGGAAGCCAATTACCGGACGTGGTGTGCACAGAACGATATCCCTGTCGAGGATGGGCCGGCTGAAAATGCGGGATCGGATGCAATGGAGGAAGACGACCTGCACAATGATGATGCGGATGAGCCTGAGGAAGAAGCCATGGAGGTGGACGACGACGACGACGTGCCCGATTTCTTCAAGGAACAAGCAAACGCCCGCATCCAGGAAGCTCTCAGGAGTCGGCCGGCCCGCAAGAAGAAGGGCAAGGTGGCAGAGCTCGTACGGGAGAAGATCCGCCAGGTATTGGAGGAGGAGACAAAGCTTGGTGAAAAGCGTGCACGAATGTGCGATGAGAATGATTTTCTAAAGTTGCTGTGGGCCTGTAACCAAAAGGGGTTCCATTTTAGTTGAGGCGGGATCCTGAGAGAAAGATTGGAAATGCTTGGCCTCCCCATATTGTCAAATCTTTGAAAGTCATGAATTAACGATTATCTTCACTGAAAGCCATTCTCAGGAGACCGGTCTCCGGCCGGGCGCAAATGAGCGCGGGAGTCTTGAAAGAGACTCTGCCAAATGAAAGCTTCGCTTAATAGGAGTTCAATATCCTTCTCGGTCCAATCCTTGGTCGGGAGTGCCTGCAAAAACATCATGATTTCCTGCAATTGATTTAGCATGATATCCCACCCCCGCGGAAACTCTCTCCTCAGTGCTCACCTGAAAATCCATCTTCACCAGCTGTTCCGACCACTTGACGAGGAATGCGGCGCACACATATAGATGAAATCGCGAGAATCCCTGCTCCTCGGCCTGGGGACTAGTGAGTACATTTCTGTTAGGAGCATGAAATGAATGGAACGAACCATGTATGTGTCCCACATCCGGATCGTGTTCTGCACGCTCATTTCCCGCATGAGCAAACAGTTCATCCATCGGAAACTAAATTGCATGAATTCAACCCCCTCGTTCTCTAAATGCTTCGCAAGTGTAGAATCAATGCGCATGGTCAAGTCGCGCAGGGCCCCGACCTGCCGGTGGATCCCCGGTTGGGCGTATATATAGTTGTCCTGGATTCCATCCAAGAGCTTGGTCAGACACCAAAACGAGTCCGCCTCGACGGCATCCAAGACGCTTCTCGGAAGTTGCCCTGGGTCCATGTCCTCCTCGACATTCAGGTCGGTGACGTAGACGCCGAGGAAGACTTGCCAAAAGGGCGTAACAAGATCGTTGATCCCCTGTACATAGCCACTGGCGGGATGTCGGATGGCCCATACATAGAGGATCCTCTCCAAGGAGCGCTGCGTTGCCTCGTACCCGTAGAGCTGAATATGAGGGCTCGTTCGAGGAACATCTATGCTGATCTGGTGCCATATTGCCTCGTCGAGGCCTCTACCACGGCCTGTGGACGGGGCAGGTGGGGTGGGAGCATTCGGGGCACTGTTTCGCTCAAAAGCCTGGCGGACCCCGTCCAGATATTCCTTGCGTTTCCTTTCGAGTGTCGAGATCCGTCGCTCACTATTCGCAGGCAAATAGCCCAGGAGAAGCTGCCAGGTCATGGCTCGTACCTCGTCCGGGACACCAGACCACGCCAGATTCCGCAGCTCGGCCAACGGAACCGTGCTTGTTTGCAGGAGACGCTTGAACTTGTTGATCCTTGATATGCGACTCGAATACTGATCCATCTCCTTGGGGGGCGCGTTCTTGGGGGGTGGGCCGTGGTTGATGAGATGTAACGCATTTGCAGGGTCTTGGGAGAGATCAGCTTTTTCCTGCGCGGTGTCCGTGAACGGGGAGAAGTACCTCTCAAGATGTCCTTGTACTGCGGGCGGAGGATTTTCCCCTCGCCCTTCCGAGCAGTTGGGTACATAGGAAGGCCACGTTCCTCGGCAATATCCGAACTGTCGGCACGCTGCCTATTGCTCCCCAAGCCAACCCCAAGACTGGTGGTATCAAGCTTCCCGAGGCCTCCTCCACCCGAACCGACGGTCTTGGGCTGTTTCGTAGTAACGCTTTGAGCCTGCTTTCGCCGCATGCTGGCGATGGTTGGCAGCCCGAACTCATCTTCGTCATCGTCATACACGATGTCCTCCTCCTCCTCTTCTTCGTCGTCCATGCCAGCGTCATCCCTTGTCTTGGTGCGGTCCCACGAGTCCATTCCTTGGTCCATGATATCAGTGTATGAAGTGCGAGGAGAGGCAACCCAGATCGCTGGTCGTTGAGAGGATGGGGACGAGACCGGCTGCGGGTGATGAGATGACGAGCGGGGTGGCGTTCGTGGGGGGGCATGCTGTTGTGCTATACCTCTGCTCGGTGCACTGATTCGTTAGCCCGCCATGGACAACCCGGGGGCGAAAGGAACGGGAACCTACTTCAAGATATCTGCATGCGAGTAAGAGGCGCCAACCACAGGGCTTTGCTCATGCGAGTTGGGCATACCCTGGTTCTGGGAGACTGATCTGCCTTTCCAGAACGGTGAACCTGCCCGTCTGCATTGATCGATCAGCCACGGCAACGGAGAACGAGTTTCGGGAACGACGAATGAAGACGAGGGGTTCAAAGGAAGACAACGAATGCAAAGGGATGGAAGGCGTATATTGGAATATGTCAAACGTACTCGGAACGGTCTTTCATTTGGCAAATAGCTATCTGTCAGCTACGGGGGTCTTCGGGGCGACAGAGACGGGGATTGCGAGGTACGAACCAACCTGGACCATCTCCTGTAACAATTTGGGGGATTGTGTCAGTTTCTTTGCAATGAATTCAGAAGAGTCGAGCGTATTTTTAGAAGCGCACTTACCTGTTGCTGGCCCTTTCTCGTAGCCATGGTGAAGCCGAAATCAGGATTGGAGTTGACACTGCGGCGACGGGGGAACGATCAGGTCATCGGAGACAGCGAGCGCCCTTGGGGCAAGGAGTGCGGGGCGCTCAGCGGGCTGTGTTTTCTCCCCTCTTGACTTTTCCAATATGGGTGACCCTTTTGAATTGGTACTGGAGCATTCAATGCAGTGATTGTTTGAATAATTGATAACTCAACCACAGGAACTGGTCCTAATGGTCTTTAGAGAGGGGAGAGAGTTGTGATATTGCAGTGTTATTGCGGTGTTATTGCGGTGTTATTGCGGTGATTGAGTCGGCAACCTTGGATGTAGATTACCGTACCGTATCAGTTCTGCCATGTGTTCAGTGGATGTGTGTATTTACGGTAACTGCATAACTCCCTTCACAGCTGATATAAGGCACTACAGTATATTACGATATCGTATCATACCTTACCTTACACTCTCCTCATCTCTGGTCCCAACAGTCAAACCTTCTTCGTCACTCTCGCCTCTTCATTCTTCCCTCAATCCTCCTCCATCCATCACCTTTCTTTCCTTCTCTCCCCCTTTTCACTAGACTTTCCTCATCCTTTCTTTCCCATTCTCATTCTTTCATTCCTCTCAATTCTTCTTTGACCTTTGCTTCTCAACGAACTTTGCTCAAACGTTTTGACCCCGTCCTATCCATCCTTTCGTAGCCGTCACCATGGCTGAACCAGACGACGTTGAAGAAGATCTTTTCGCGGACTTGTTAGACTCCCTTTTCAAACTCTGTTACTCGATATTGAATCATGGTCAATCTAACCTATCTATCTGTAGGTACGACGCCGATGAGTCGACAAACCGGCCGCCACCGGCTGCCCCGGCCCCGGAGGTCATCGATACTTCGCACTCAGCGCCTGCAGCCCAACCAACTGGTATCCCTGTAGCACAGACGATCGAGGGTGGTCATGACGAGTTTGATCAAACTCAAAATGCCTATCAACCGTTTCACAGTGAAGGACATAACCAGAACGGCTTCGCCAACGTGGATTCCGGGCACGCCGGGAATGGATCGCATTTCCATGGCGGGCCAGAGCCTCAAGGCACTGGTATCAAAGAAGACGGGTAAGTCATTGTTCAGCCTGTTTTGTACTGCATTGCTCGGAGAGAAGAGACAACCCCCCCTCCTATGTTCCAACCAAAACCACATCCAGTTCGTTGGGTAGTGCTCCCATGAGCGCCCTTCGCAGGCATTCGCAGGGCAAAAGAGATATGGGGAATAAAGATCGGGGTGGGATACCTCGTGCCGTCTACATCCTTCTCGAGTGTCCATTTCCCTGTCCTTCACAGTCTCGGACTCGTGCCACTGGATAGTGGACTGTATCACACCTGGGAAGGCTCGATATGATTGATGGGATGAGTGGCGCTGTGGAAAGCATTATAGGATGGTTATTTCTAGGTGGATGCTTCCGCCGCCACACAAATCATTCACGAGGGATCGAGGAAACGAGGTTGCCATCAGCTGTGGATAAAGATCTCATACACTCTACAATGATTCAGCTATAAGAAAAGAAAAGAAAGAACAAACATGAAGGAAACAAGCACAAGAAAGATCATATCGGCGGAATTCTACAGCTTCCCAAGACCCCGGCTCAAGTGAGATGATGCGTCAGCGATCCGGAATCGATAAGGCAGTTGCGAAGCGAGAGAAGTCAAGTTCCTGACTCCACGAAACCCTGGTCGCGAGCAACTATAGTACAGCAGTTACTATATAGCTTCCTTGTCGATACTTCTTGATAGAGCAGAGCAGAGCAAGGAATATAGTCCTTGACTGTGTGGTGCGCACTTGTCGAACAGTTTACCTAGCTTCGGACTCTATTAGAAAGGCACAGGAGCCCTTGGTCAGAGACAGAACAGAAAAGCAATTGACTTATTCCGCCCTGACTTTGTTTCATCAACTTGCGTGACTTGTTTGGTCGCGACGCACATACCTTTCGCCGGGAGTACCTGAGTTGGCCTCGAGTCCACTGAGTCGCCCTGTAAACCAGTGGGAATCTGCCTAGAACATGGTTGTGATTCCAGTGGGCGTGCTCTTCGTCAGTGTATACATAACAGCGACTGCCTGATGCAACCGTCAAATCTGTGAAGCGCCGCATTAGGAGCCACCAACTGCCCGGAAGCCAACATGGGATTGATCTCAGCTTTGCCCTGAATATCCTCAGATGTCGAAACCCTCATATCTTGACCCAGTCTGAACTGCCATAGCCGCCCATCTGCATCAGCCGTCTCAGCAATCACTTCCCGTTATCACTTTCTTGCTTTTTTCTCTTCTTTTCTTTTTTTTTTTCTTTCTCACCTCTGTTGGACTATTCGATGCCATGTGATTTATTGATTCCCCAGTACTCTTGACTAACAAATTGGTGGAACAGAAAAATGTTCATCGGTGGTTTGAACTGGGAAACGACAGACCGTACGTCAAGTCAACTTGAATTCGCTGTTCATCCATCAAATTGCTAACGCATAGATCAGAATCTTTGAAGGACTATTTCTCTCAGTTCGGCGAAGTCCAGGAATGCACAGTCATGCGCGACAGCGCCACAGGTCGCTCCCGAGGCTTCGGGTTCTTGACCTTCAGAGATCCGCGGACCGTCAACACGGTGATGGTAAAGGAGCACTACCTGGACGGCAAAATCGTAAGTCTTCCCCAATCTACACAACCAATGTCGCGAATCTCACACTCCCGCCAGATTGACCCTAAACGCGCCATCCCGCGTGATGAGCAAGAGAAAACGAGCAAGATCTTCGTCGGCGGCGTCAGCCAAGAAGCAAACGAGCAAGACTTCAAGCAATTTTTCATGAAATTCGGCCGCGTGGTCGACGCAACCCTGATGATCGACAAGGACACCGGCCGGCCCCGCGGGTTCGGCTTCGTGACATTCGACAGCGAAGCGGCCGTCGAAGCGGCCCTCTCGCGCCCGCTGGAGATCCTCGGCAAGCCGATCGAGGTGAAGAAGGCCCAGCCGCGGGGTAACCTACGCGATGAAGAAGACCGCCGAAACCGCCGCGGCAGGGACGGATTCCGCGAGGGAAGCCAGGCCGGCGAGGGAGCGCAGCAGCAGCAGGGCGCACAGGGTCAGGGCGGTATGCCTGGCGGTTTGACCCCCCAGATGATGGCACAGTACTGGCAGCGCATGCAGCAATACTTCGCCATGATGCAGCAGCAGATGGCGGCCGCCAACGCCGGGGGTCAAGGCATGGGCGGCGCGGTCGGCATGGGCGGCATGAACCCCGCCATGATGCAACAGCTGCAAATGAAGCAGATGCAGCAGATGCAGATGGGCAATCCCCAGCAACAGCAGTCGCCGCAGCAGGCGCAGCCGCAACCACAAGGCAGCATGAGCCCGCCGTCGCAGAGCGCGACCCCGCAAATGCAGAACATGATGAACCCAGCCATGATGCAGCAGATGCAGCAGATGCAACAGATGCAGAACCAAGGCCAAGCCGTGGACCCCCGCATGAACAGCCCCATGGGAGGAGGCAGCGGCGATCCCAACAGCCCCGGGAACTTCTCCGGGGCGCGAGGCGGAGGACCCGGCTACAACGCGCACGAGCAGATCGCCTTCGAGCAGCAGAAGTACGAGCAGCAGCAGGCCCGCCGCGTCATTGAGAATCGGGCGTTCTCGCCTTATCAGCAGGGCGGGCCGACGTCTTGGGAGGGCATGTACGATGAGGTTCCGCAGCCTAATATCCCTACGGGGCCGCAGGCTATGAACCGTGCGGGTAGTATTGGTCGTGGTATGTACCCACCCTCCTTTCCTCTCTCTTAAATCCTCGTTTCCCGATTCCAATCTGACTGACTGATATCAGGTCCCACCCCTCAACCCCAAAGCTCAGCCCCAGCAAACGCCCCCACAGGCCCCAAGAACGCCGGCAAGCCGGGAGCGAACTACCGCGGCGGTGGCCGTGGAGGCCACAGAGGTTTCCACCCTTACGCTAGAGGTTGAACATACATACATACGTCCGATTATTAGGGTTATTATCTTGTTTGTCTACAGGGGAGAAACAAAAATATGCCATGCCAGACAGAACTGGCAGGAACTATTTTTTTTTTCTTTCCTTTCCTTCCCTTTCGTCTCTTCTAAAACCGTGTCATCAATTCCATTCCAATTCCATTCTTGTTGTTGTCTTCTTTTTTAATTTGAAATTCGCTATGCTATGCTATGCTATGCTATGCTACGCTATGCTACGTCCATGGTACGTCCCTGGTTTTCAACCTTCGTTTTTTGTGTTGCATCATCATATCGTATCTTTCCTGTCTGTGTCCAGATTATAACAAAGTATTCGATAATGGAACCTGCTTTCTATTATTATCTCCTCTCATCTAATCTCTCCATTATCGTCATTATTGTTATAATGTTTTGGATTCTGGATGGGATTTTAGCTGTAGTATTGTCTTTTATCTTCCATCCATCCATTCATTCATTGAATGCCTCTGTTCCTCACCTACTTATCGAGTAAGGTAACTTGGGTCTTCGTATTTGAATGTCCACAATAAGTGTAGGAAATACACACGATGCGCTGATAGATTGGGTGTGTGCAAAAGTAATGAATGAATAACTGACTGGCCAAACTTCTATTTCCGCTGATCTGGTAGTCTGACAGCCTGCATGTAATTCGATAGATGGCAGTTTTTGCATGCCATGGTCGAAACCTAGGTACATGCATATTACGGATCATGATCCTAAGCAAAACGAATGCTGTGGATGGGCTACTCTACCCGTACAGTATTAGATGATATCACCAAGGCTAGAGCTAAGGATGAATATAGATAGATGCTGGACGAAAGGCACAGCCCCTCTGGATACTGTCAGGAAGAAGGACACCGCTCATTACTGTCAAAAAGGAGAAAAAGAGTGAAAACATGCGCATGCTATTTTAAAATGCTTGACAAGTGTCTGGACGCCTCCAACAGATCAAAAAAAAACGGATCAGACGACTTGCCAGTAGGGTATTTTTACATTCCTCGTGACCGTCCGTCGACCTGGTGGTCTAGTCTAATACGCAAACCCATAGCCGGGTTTCGTGGCCGGGCGGCCATCGGGAGAGCTCTCCCGCGATTGTCGACTTTCTCGACTCATGTTTCGACCGTGGCGGGTCTCCATGGCGTAGTCCGGTCCGACCAGTCGATCGGTGCTCCGCGTGCGATCATGCCCCAACTTCGAATCGTGCTGGTCCCGGTAGGGCGCGTACGGTCCCGTAAAGTTGAACTGGCTCATCTCGGCGTACTCCTTCCGGGGTGGGTTGTCCATCAGCAGCGACTCCCGCGCGTCGAGAGGGGTCAGATCGTCAATATCCCGTCCATTTTTCTCTGTAAATCCTCCCATGTTAGCGTCGACAGCGTGACGGCGTCGGGGAGGGTTCCACTTACCGGCTTCCTTTCTGCGTCTCGCGTGAGGGTTTTCGCGGCAGCAGAGAATGATGGCGTTGGTGGCGATGAGGATGGCCAGGATACCGGTCAACGCCGACTGGACGGCGATCAAGACGATCCCCGTGACGGTTTTGGTGGTCTGGGACAGTCCCAGCTCCTCAACAAACACCAGCACACATACCACCGACAAGACACGCACGACCTGGATGCTGATGTTGATCCACTGCGTGGATTTGGCGACGTACGGCCGGTGCCACAGCAGGAGGGTCAGCATGAGCGCCTCCACGATCAGCTGCCCGACCGACTGAACCAGTCCGTGGCCGTTCCCACCCGCGATAATGCAGCCCTTGGCAAACATATACACGATGGCAGGGACGAACAGCCACCAGTAGTCTTTCTTATAGTTGTCGTAGAAGAGGCTGTACTTCTTCCAGGTCTCCCGATCTTCGTATAGGCTCGACGCATCGCCTTCCGACTTCTTGTACTTGCGGGCCAGGTAGGTGATCTTCCAGGCAAAGAAGCACAGCACGGCGGTGAAGATAGCGAGGGTGACCGCAGCCAGCACTTTGGCCGCCCAGGAGTCCCCGCTACTCAGCTGGTAGACACAATAGAGGACCCAGATCCCGTAGAGGACGAGAATTAGATTGGTGACGGTACGACCCAACAATCCCCAGTAGTCTTTGCGGAACCCGGTGAGTTTCTGCGGGAAGGAGCCGTAGAGCGCCCACGCCTCCAGGATGACCTTGAAAAGCAGAATCCCCACCGTAATCGCGGCAATGACAATGGCAAAGATCAACAAGACGGTCATGAAGGTGTTGGCCTCGGGGATCGTCAACTGCTCCGCGTAGGCCTCCATGCCCGAGACGAAGTGTTTCAGACCCCCCGTGTCGCCGTCGCCGTCGCCACCCCCCTCTCCGGCGGACGGGTCCGAATCCGCCGAGGTGGACAGTTCGCGCGTGGCCAAGTCCAGGGCGCCGACGACCAGAGTCCACCCCCGCTTGGCCTTGGTGCCCGAGTCCGAGTCGGATGCGTTCGAGTAGACGAGTTTGGCGTCGCGGAGGAACTCGTAGCTGTTGCCGGTCAGGTTACCGCCGGTGGTTTGGCGAAAGTTGTCGATGGACTGTTGCATCTGGCCCCAGGGGATCAGGCCGGTGCTGAAGGCGAAGTTCTTGGAAAAACTGCGGTAGACGGCGGGATAGCTGACGCTGAGCATGCCGTTGGTGGCCATGGTATGAAACCACCCCATGACCTCGCCAAAGCCGGGACTGGTGGAGTGTGCGCCCGGGTGACCGGCGGTGCCCAGAGCAGAGAGCCCGCTCAGCGCCAGAGCCGCGCCGGCCACGCCGGCGGCCGCGTAGGTGACGCCGGGGATCTTCATGGATTTGCCATTGGTCAGTTCAGAGGTGATGCAGGCGATCTCCTTGCCACCCTTTTTGGATTTCAGCTGGAGTTTCGCTTGGCCGTCCAAGTCGGGGATGGCGAACGCGATGGACGGGATCTGTTTGGCGAACTCTTCGGGAATCTCCTGTGTCCCTCTGGCGGAAAAGGTGCCCGAGGGAACTGTGTTTGGAGTTAGGATATCCACGCTCTTTCAATGCGTGACTATAGGGGCTCTGAACGTACCTGGGCAAAGTTGATCGATGTGATTGTCGGCGCTGCAGGGATCGAATTCCTTGTTGTAGACTTCCTTGCCGTACGCGGTGACGGATAAGGCGGCGGTGACATTCTGTTCCTTTGCATTGGTGCCGCTCACGTCGAAGACGACTTCTCTGGTGGAGCGGGAGTAGGTGATGTGCAATTTTTTGACCTCAATCTGGGCGCCCGTCAGGCAGGTGGAGGCGCCATCGGTGCTCAGGGTATCGGCGGCCAAGGTGGTGGGCAGCAGGCCCAGGGCGATCAGGCCGAGTTGGGAAAGATAGGCAAGCCGCATGTCGGTGGTTAGACAGGACGGATATCTATGTCAATTGACAAGAATGGAGGATTGATGTGAGATTTTTCTTTTTTTTTTTTGTTTGTGGTTTGCCTTTTGGCTAGCGAGTCTCGACGAGAATTCAATCGTCGAGGAGATTAGAAAAATGTAATGGAGATAAAACCGACAGGTCGAATAGCAAACGGCCTGGATCGGAACGAACAGGATCAACCTGTATAGAACGGAAAATGCAAGGATCAAACGTTTGCAAGAGGAAAAATCGAGAAAGCAATGAAATCAGGGAACAATCAAGCGAATGATACAGAAGAAGAAAGGAAAGACGAGTCAAGTTGGCAGGTTGGAAGAGAGGTGACTAGGAGAGAGAGAGGCCAATGACAGACAGCAACGCGAGCATTCTCTCGCCCAATGCGAAGTGCAAGTCGCTGTTATCCTTCTTCCTCGTTCGTCACAGTGGCTGTGATGAAGAGAAAGGATGGGCAGCAGACTTGCAGGCAGACGAATGGGGTGTATGACCGGCGCGTACAGACCAAAAATAGGCGCGAGTCAGGCCGGAGAGAATGGACGTGTTGGCTTCGTGGGAAGCTGATCGACTGGAGATGGATAGGATAGGAGGGGAGAGGAGAGAGCGGGTAAGGAAGGAGTGCAGATGCAGGAGGAAAAAACCAACAGAGGCAAAGTAAAGACCGACAGAGGAGAAAGGGAGAAGAAGCTAGAGAAGTGAGTGAAGTGGTTGGGAGAGAGAAGTTTGGAGTCGAGAGAAAGAGGAAAGACAACTCAGGCAACAAAGTGGCGTAGTGGACTAGACAAAGAGGGGACTGATGGAGTAATTAGTATAGAGTCTGGACGTCTGGAGGTCAACATGGGCATTCTGGAATCCTATTGATAGCGCGATGGACCAGTGAAATCCGCAGAATCTCCTCCACCGTGGGAGAGACACTTGATCCATGGATGGATGGACCGGTGGATTCGTTTGATAGAAGGATCCGTTTGAAAATCCGGACTCCTGTAAGTTAGCCCAGTAGGGACGAGGTACCTGGGAGGTACCTGGGAGGTACCTAGTGGTATCGTAGATGTGACAGAATTCCCCTGAATGTCTCGGATGGGTCCTGATTGGCGAATGGCACGGCCTGGACACGGCCCAATCCCAGCTGTGGCGCAGTGGACCATCTAGACCTTCTGTATCGCTCGTATGAACTGTACCGATACCTCTAGAGGCTGTATCCATCGGTATAGATACTGTACCTCGGTGTCGGTACTATTCAGTCAGTATTCACCTTCTCCGTTCGACTCTTCTTAGTATGTGTGGTATTGACTTGACTCAAAATGAATAGTCACTCCGGAGATTGACTATTGACATTGATAGTGTAGAGTTTGTTGTACGGAGTCCTTTCCCTCTCCAGCTATCTCCGTATTCCCCACCAGACCATGTTTCATTGGTAATCTCCATCTAATTTCCAGCCTATTGAATTCGTCCTTTATTTTTATCTTTCCACATCTTGTTTTTGTTTGTTTTTCCCCTCTCCATCCACCAGAAAATTACCAACCAACCCGATGGATGGGTCGAACCCAAGTGGATCAGCGTGTAGCATGTAGATGATGCTCACCTAGACTGCAAGGATTGTCCTCTTCCCATCGGCTGGAGGGAGCATTCCTGGTTCAATTCCTTTCGCCCAAGTCCACTGCATGACGATCAGCCTGGTTAATAATATGGATGTTTGCTGTTGATGACTCTTCCTCCTCCTCCTCCTCCTCCTCCTCCTCCTCTTCCTCCTGTCCAACGTGGTAGGTACTGTACCTGATCGGTTTTTAGTTTGACGGTATGACACTAACAGACAACGCCAGCTGAGATTGTCTGACTAGTGTGGAATGGTCGATTTGACAGGCGCTACCTATTAGTTCCCTACAGGTAGGTAGTCGATTTAGCGCCGGTGTTACTGGTTGATGAACCAATGATTCAATTCTCTCCCCGTGCCTAATTATATAGCTCTATATAAAGAAAAAAATAATAATTAAATTAATCAATAAACGGAGAGACAGAAAAGATCAAAGGAGAGGGAAAAGAAATCAATTTAGTACTCATCTTGGAATACCTCCGTGTAGTCCGTGGTCCTGTACACAAGGAATACTCCGCACCGCCAATTCATGCAGTCTCTGCCGGCAGTTAAATAATAAGTATAGATGCCGTGGGAGATGTCACTACATATCTGATGACATTCCTCCTCCCTTGTCCCCATGTATGACAGGTTTGAATCAATAAGTATCCCTATACTACCTACCTAATGAGTTCATCAGCTGTGCAAGTATAAGGTTTCCTCTATTTGATATTCCAATACATACCGAATCCCCCGATTGAACCTGGCAGTAGTCGTCGTGCCTTGCAGCCGCCACGATCTTAAGATAAATATCCGTCGGTAGTTGATACTCCGAGAAGTCTGTGTACGGTAATCTGCATCTATTGTGTACGGTCCTCTCTAATATGAGGCCATAGAGTATTGGTAACCCCTGACCACCTATCGTGTAGAGGACTGCTCATGCTTGTTTAACTGACGAGTAGAGAACGTGACTCTTTGGATATCCCTAAATAGTACGACACAAGATCAATCATTATGTCTCCCCTCGTACTCGTGTTACAACTCAATCAAAGTCCCCACCAATAGCCAGATGGCCCTGAGCATCCATACAGCAATCTTATCATTCCCCACTAGGAACAATACTGCATGATAAACATATCCATCCCCGCTAACATCAAATTGGCCAGCAAAGTGAAGACCTGGCCTGTACGGAGTACTCCTCAGCAATGTTGCATACAAGCACCCGGGCTATTTCCGCGCCGCCTTCTCTTGCATCTCCCGCATCGCAGCGCGAGCACTCCGGCTCCCACCCAACTTGGGTCCCTTTGGCGGTTCCGGTTTGGCCGCCGCCGTCGTCGTCGTCGTCGGTTTCTTCTTTTTCGCCCGCCGACGGGACTGGATCGCGTCGAGGAAGTCTCGCCGGAATTGCTCGGCCACCTTATCGTCGGCCGCTTGATCTTCGCCCTCTTCCTCTTCCTCCTCGGGCTCGTCATACACGTCCACTATTACCGTTAGCAACAATAGCAAGAAGTAGGCGCTGAGATGGGACTCACGTTTACTCTCCCGTAGAATCTCCTCCACAAGCCGGTCTCTCTCGATGTCTTCGCTGGTCCGCCGTTTTCGGTTTCGCCACGGTTGCTCGCTCTTCCCGGCGGCGTCTCTGGAAGGACCAGCCTCTTCGGTATACTGCGGATGACCCTCGTCCTTCGCGAAATGCCTCGTAGCCGCTTCTGTCCGGGCAATATTCTGGAGTTTCGTCTCCTGACCCAAGTCGATCTCGTGTAACTTGCCCAATGAAGCGGGCTGTCGTTGCGGAAGGTTCAACGAAGGCGCCGGTGCCTGTCTGTCGTTTGTAGCTAGGGTATCGGGGTCATGTTTATCGGCCGGTAGATTATGTTGGAATCTCTTGGCCATTTCGGATTCTATATAGGCCATCCTTATCTTGTCAGTCTCCATCACAAAAGCCAAGCCGCGCTGGGGGGTAGATATAAGCGTGCATACGTACATGTGCTTGTCGACATCCACTGTTTGCCCGGTATGCGCCGTAAATCGATCACCCATGTGACGTATGCGCTCGTCTTCGAGCTCTTCTCCCGTCGTCATCTGTCCCTGGCCGCCATTGTTGGCTGTTTTCCGCGACGTCGTAGAGAACTCGATGCCACCCTTTCGTGCCCGATGCTGTCGCCGGAGGCGAACGACGTCGCTGGTCTGCACGCCATCGTCTGCCTCTCCGGCAGAATCAACGGGCGGAGTATTTGCGTTATGCTCGCGATCTTCGCTGGGCGATCGGGTCTCTTGTGTTTGTTCTGGACGACGTCGTAGAAACTTTCTTTTCTTGATTGGGCGGAAGAATGGCTCTTGCGTTTCCATCGTTTGTCGATAGGGTGTGGGACTGCTGGGAATGGACGATCGGTAGTGCAAGCGAACAGATGTAGAGGAAAACCGTTTAGTTTGATATGTTGAATCAGTAATATCAACCGGGATGAAAAGTATATACAAGAAAGCTTAAAAGGCGTCTGTCCGATGAGGCAAAGTGAGCTTGGGATCGGCTGAATAATAACAATGAAGCTTCCACTCCCGCCACCGTCACGTCGCGCCGCTCCCGCAAAATCACGTTCGAACCAAGATATTGTCCCTCTCCACCATCATCCCTACCTCTCCCTCTCCTCCCTTTCTCCCCGCCGAGTACAATCATCCTCCTACTCCCCACAGCACCCGTCGAGCTTGGGGTTACGTCGATCCTAGTCATTCCCTCGAATCTCTGTCAGAGTCGAACCGGAATCCTCTTGGCCTTTCCTCCCTCTGCTCACCGTGAGCGATCAATCCCCGCGGTACTCCTTGCGAAAAAGACAATCGCAATATGAACTCTTCCATTCCACCGTCTGCTGCCGAATATGGCGGAGGTTAGTGAACACTCCCCAGTAACTGCGCTGCGATTCGGGACCACCGTCTTTCTTGATTGCGTTCCTCGGACACTGCGCAGATGCGCAAGCGCTCTGTCTGAATTTGATAGCGCTTCTTGTATTCTAATCTAGGTATATACAGATGAGGTCTCCGCCATCGTACTCGATCCCGGATACTCCACAACGCGCGCTGGCTTTGCGGGCGAAGATACGCCCAAGTCCTTGATCCCGACCTCCTACGGGAAATACTCTCTCGACGGGCACGAGAAGCTGATATTCGGCGACGATGTCTTCGTCACCCCTCGGCCTGGGTTGTCGGTTCACAACCCAATGGGCAAAGATGGTATCGTGGAGGATTGGGACATGGCGGAGAAATTGTGGGAGTACTCGTTCACCTCGCGATTGACGGGCGCGAAGCCCGGAAACCCCTTGCAAAACGGACTCAATGATATTTCCGAGGGGGATATGGCGGCGGAAATGGAGGGCGTGGAGAGCTCTGAAGACCGACCTCTTGCGGATAGTCCGTTTTTGATGTCTGAGCCTGGCTGGAATCCCGCAAAGGCTCGCGAAAAGACCATCGAAATCGCGATGGAGAAGTGGGGGACGCCAGCTTTCTATCTGGCGAGGAATGGTGTTCTTGCAGCGTACGTGGCCAGGCTTTGTTTGTGTCCAATGCGTTGATAAGATTTGCTGACAGTCGGCTTCAGATTCGCTGCTGGTAAGGCCTCGGCGCTCGTCGTTGACGTCGGCGCCTCCAATATCTCGGTTACCCCGGTGCACGATGGCATGATCTTGAAGCGCGGCGTCCAACACTCCCCTCTGGGCGGGGACTACATCTCATCGCAAATCCGCGCCCTTTTCAAGTCCAACTCCCCGCAACCTATCACCATCACTCCCCACTACCTGATCTCCTCGAAAACCGCCGTCGACGCAGGCCAGCCCCCGCAGGCTAAATACAAGACCTTCCCTCCCGAAAAGGCGCCCGATGCGTCCTACCGCAACCTCCTCGAAGAGCGAACACTCTCCGAGTTCAAGGAATGCGTCGTCCAGGTTTGGCCCGGCCCCAACAAGCTCTCCGCCCTCGGCCCCAACGGCGTCTCCAACGAAGAAGTCGCCCGAGGCACCCCCGGCCGGCCCTTCGAGTTCCCAGACGGCTACAACCAAGTCTTCGGCGCCGATCGCTACCGCGTCGTGGAGTCCCTCTTCGACGCCAAAGCGGCGATCCCAGACCCCGACTCCGCATTCCCCGCCCCAACGCAGGCCCAGACCGTGCCGGAGCTCATCAAGAACGCCCTCAACGGCGTCGACGTCGACATCCGCCCCCACCTCCTCGCCAACGTCGTCGTCACGGGCGCCTCCAGCTTGCTCTACGGCTTCACAGACCGCTTAAACCAGGAACTCATGCAGACCTACCCCGGCCCGCGGGTCAGAATCTCGGCACCTGGAAACACCGCCGAGCGGAGGTTCGGCTCGTGGATCGGAGGCAGCATCCTTGCTAGTTTGGGCACTTTCCACCAGATGTGGATTTCCAAGAAGGAGTATGATGAGCATGGGCCGAATATTGTTGAGAAGCGATGCAAATAGATGATTCTTTCCGGGGGTTAGATACACAGCCCCCGCCTGTTTCATTTTATATTTTGGTTCATATAGTTATATTATTCCCCTGTTATCTCAACCTTCTCTTTCGTGAATACGTAGTTTGTCGGTTATAACACTTTACTTCCCGCGTGTGACCCGTGCAAACGGTGGGTTCTTGTCAAAGGATGAGGGGAGTCAGAATAAAACAGGCAGGGATTTAAGCAAGTGCATCTGAATAGCGGCCATCACTGTTGTTTATTCCCTGCCGATCATGCGCAGATATGAACGAGACCTATTAGCATCTATCATATGTTGCGGGACCGTGTCCATCTTGTATGGTTGTATCTATGCATATTCATACATCCATCATCTATATACACATGACTGGTGACTAGAACCCTGCGTTGAGGCAGTGGATATAATGAATTGATTCATAGATACATTGGGAGAATTGCTCATTTCACCTTTTTAATTTATGATTATATATTGGGGGATCATGTTTCTTATCTCATTACCACGCTGGATAGTACCACTCTGGATAAACAGAATATAGGACGTGTTTGTCAATTGACTATCTATCCAAAGCTATCTAGCTGCAAAATCACCCCAAGTCATTAACTCCTAACTCGCATCATTGGTATATTCATCTCGAGGTCGTCACACAGCCAAGAAACCTAGACATGCAATTCTGTTAATGTCTCCAGCCGGAGAGTGTACGACTCTTTGGAGGTCCCTCAGGTATCTATATCTCTGGTCAGCCTGCATCCTAGAGAGTGTAGTGTAGTGTAGCAATCTACTTACAGTAGGTGGCACGGAAGGAAGCGCAGTGATCACAGACTGTGCATCCCACGTGATTTCAGTATTATTACTGTTGTTGCGCCGGTGGCCGTTCTCCTTCCGCTCCGACTCCTGAGCCAGCGTCATCTGCAGCGAAAGGACGTGTATTCGAGGCGCGAAATCATCGCGCTTTGGCTTCAGCGGGTAGGTAGGAGTATCTAAAGCTTCGAGCCCGCTCGGAGGGCTCGATGTGTGCATTTTCGATCCGTCTGTCAGATACGTTGTCTGTGGCTTTTCGGGGCTCCCGCGGGCTGTCGATGGCTTTGTGCGGAATGCGCTGAGTGGCCCGTTGAGCTTTATCTGTGAGACGCGCCGGGTGACGCCTTTCTTCTCTTTTCCTACCGTGTTCTCCCATGCGTCGGCCACGCGGTCTGATTTTAGGTAGTGGAGGAGCTGGTCTTTCATCGTTTCTTGTTTCGTAGGTGTTTGGGACGCGGTGGGTTGTCGTTCGTGTTGCGTTGGCATTGGTGGTGTCATTGAATCCGGGTGGTGTTCTTTTCTGGGGTACCGGAAGGATTTGAGCTGTTCCATGGAGATGGTTCGGGCCTTTAGTCGCCTGGGGGAGGGCGCAGTCGTTGGTCTTTTCGGCGAATGGTCGACCTCGTCATCTGCGCGTGTCATTGGGCTTAGTTTAGCCTTTGAGAGCCGCTTGACGATGCTCCTCTGCACGCCTGGGATGAATGAATGGGATTTGACGTGGCGTGTGGCTTTGTCTGTATGTTTTGTTGGCTGGGAAGCACTCATGCTGGAGCGTCTCGCGTCTGGTTCTTTGTCTGCTCTGGACCCTGAACCATGCCTCTGCCTATCACGACTCTCGATGGACTGCGGCGTGCCATTAGCAGTCCTTGGAGAAATCGGATCGCATGGTAACGGCTTTTCAATAGCTGTTTTGGGTCTCTCGAAAAACCTCCCGCTGAAAGACCGCCGCAAAGTTAAGCGCGGCGTCTGCATGGACTCCCGTTCGGTCTGTTGATGGACCAGTTTCTTGCGGCTCGCTACCCCTATGCGCCGCTGCATCTCGGTGATGGCCAGGGAGAGTTTCGCAAGCGCGGCTTGGAGCTTGAGTCCTTTGCGTCGCAGGTCTGAAAAGGCCACATTCCATCCCTCTGCGTTGGATAGCATGGCGCTGACAAGGGCGGCCATGTATCCTGATAGTTCGTACTCCTTTTCTGCTTGGTAGAGGTACTTCCAAAGAGCCCTAATAGCCGCCTTCCCTTTCTGGATGTCTTTCAGACTGTCGTCGATAGAGGCTGTGAATCTTTGGATTGCATGCTCAATCTTGTCGTTGTAGTCGAGCATGGAAAGTCGGAAAAGGCGGTCTTCTAACATCTCGTCGAACGTATTTAGGTTCTGAAGAGGTAGACTCAGGTATTGCATCCGAGTATATACGTCGACCTCGACGATCAGGAAGTCTTCGGTCGTCCTTCCCAGAAAACCGTCCACCTCATCCACGTGGATTTGAAGAATCCTCAACACCTCGGTGTCTGATTTCGCAAGCCCTCTTACGAGGAGGTGAACGCCAAATAACATTTGGGAAGTGAGTTTCCAAATAGGATGATACCTGGACATCTATTAGTCTGGAAATACAAAGATGACTGAACCCTTGGGAAATCCTCTCCAACGTACCTCCCACCAGCCCTTTGAGGCCATTTTCGCCCGCAAAGCCGCTCATACTCGGCGCTTTCGAGAAGATTCCTGCGTCGTGTCTGCGCATCAATATTGACCACCCGTGTACTCCCAGCACCTCCAACAGCCTCTGATATCGACTCGTCAAATGGTCCTTGCAACTCGGGTATCGGGTGGACAGATACTTGACCAGTATGCTGGCTCCCCGCCGACGAAAGCTCATCTCCTCCCGTGGCGCCGGCAGGATGGACCCGTTGCTCCTCGTGTTGGATCAGGGGCGCCATTAATCAGAAATTATTAGCGGAGGAATGCTCGTATAGCTGGTACCCCTTATTCTTTTGCTAACTTTTTTCTTTCTCCCCGAGTCTCCTTTTTTTTTTTGTGGCGGTGTTTTGTTGTTGCACCTCTTCCGCAGAAATGTTGCGAAAAGGTCTACCTGCGCATCAAATCTGCGCTGCAGCTGTCCAGACTCTCTTTTATGGCGATACGCCGCTTGAACTGCACGGAATCAAGCTCCATTAGGCTCAAGCCTCATCGGACACGGGGACGGGCTCGTCGCTGAGACTTTTTTTATGTTCTCTTGAGCTGCTTTTCGTGAGGGGAAAAGTTGCAGTAGCTGACCTGGTGAGAGATTCCGGGGCTGTATGTAAGGAACGCTCGCTCCAGTAAGGGTAATAGAGCAAGAGACGTTCCAAGTATCCAATAGGGGATGCGAGGTACTGCAAGTGACTCTGCCAAGCAAAAACTTGATTTCTCGAGTAGCAGTCTATGGATTTAAAGAGAGGGGCTGACACGAGAGAGTTTTTGTCGATATAGAATCCCCAATTGATGCAGTGGTTATCCCATAGACCCAGTGGGGTGTAGGGTGCGAGAACAGTACGACAGTCGCAGTGGATAGATAGTGGGTGTAAATGCGGGCAAGGTAGTGAGTACTAGTAGTAATTAATCTGTCGCAGCTATACAAGCTGCGAGGTCGGAGTAGTAGGGATGAGTAGAGCGGACGTTTTATACTTGAATCAGGGGTGTTTTATTGCTAGCGCCAGCCGAAGTTGCGAGAAAAAATAAAACGAAAGATAGAGAAGAGATAAATGAATGAATGAAGCCGGTGACAATAGCAACTACGGCAGCAATAAAAGGCAAGAGTAAATCGACGAGACTTCTAAAGTAAGGTCTCGGGAAAGGGTTAAAGCCAACTTAAAACAAGCCAGCAGGGCCTAAAATAGATCTAGAATGGATCGAGGGACGCGAGATAGTCTCGCTGTCCTATCCATATTTGGGATCCTCCGTCTTAGTTTCAGGGATTTTATTTCTTTTGTTTCATTAGCCCTCTACTCAGCCGTCCCCATGGCTGCCGAAGGTCTACAGAGGATAAGCAGTATAATAGACTAGGGAGGGGTGAATAATTGGGCTAGTCGTGATCAGGAGAATGGAGCGAGTACCGTCATGTAGTTTGAGACTCCCATGGTTGGGCTGATGCTATGAATGCCAGTCGGGATATTCGCAACAGGATTCGAAACCATGTCGAAAACAACTCCACCACCGTGACACGAAACAAACCTCGTCCACGTTGCGGTAGGTGGTGGGGACTGCGACAGCATGTTGTCAATTCCTCTGGTTACAACAATGCAGTCGGGCCACTGAATTCCCAGGTTGGTTTTGGGACGATCGTATCGGTTCACCTGGTACCAGCCCTTCTAACCAATCGGAGCAATGGATTCTGCGTTGTTGGAACCAGAGTTGTTCGAGAACTGGACTGAGGGGCCACTGCTCCATGTCAAGTAGCTGCGAAGAGCCCGACCTCTGCCCAGTGCGTACCGTGGCCGGACCCAGTTGGCGGTAAGTGAGCCTTGCGAGTGGGGGCATCGCGAGGGGGGCTTCAACCATTTTAAGTCTACCCCCCGGGACAGTGAGGCTTTGCCTCGAGATAGGCGACGGACATAGATGACGATCGGCAGTCGGGACCACCCAGACTGTATTGATTCAGCAAATGAGAGAGCATCGGAGAACCGAGGTTCCGAATTACATAATACATACTTGACCGGCATTCCATATACCACGTATATATCGAGATACTCCGGTCCGCCTTAGATTGCCTCCCACAAGTTTCATTATCGTCTAGCCGACTTGTATTTCGGGCCGACTCTTATGAGAGAAAGACCGGATCCCAAAAGTTTGTCGGTAGGGATAGATCTAGAAAATCGCCAAAGAACATGTCAATATCTGCGAATCCATTAGGTTCGGGGTTCTCCTGCGGATCTCCCTGCCAGTCCGATCCCGGGGAGACCGCCTGTACTGTCGTGGATAGTGACGGTCCTTCTTCTGTGTGGTGATAGCTGTTCTTGTACGGCGGAGATGGCAGGGCCATTGCAGGCTCCTCTCCATCTCCGGGATGCGTGGGCGATTTGTCTGGTAACGAGTGTCTGGACTCCAGAGTCTGTTGCCGATTCTGCGGCTGTAGCTTCATCCAGCCAATCTGATGGAGCGCCTTCCTTCCCAGTCTCGCCATTGCCTCTGCAGAATACCAGCAAATTCCGAGTGCTTCAAGAAGGGAGCAGCAGACATCCAAGCTAGCCTTGGCGCGATCCGAATGGGTGATGAGTCTACTCGAGCGAAACTGCTGGTATGCAACGGCCATCGACAGAGCTAAGGCATATGGTACAACAGGAAGAGGGCTCAGGTTCTGACAGCATTCGGTGGCGACAATCGACTGTATCCTTATAGCAGCGAGACCTTGGCGAATATATGAAGGGTTAGAGCTGTCGGGATGGTCGGACAGGTGGTATCTGCACGAAAGGATGACAGCTGCATTGTAGTACAACTCCAAAAACCCTGAGACGCTAGTTCAGCTATGGTCAAAAGATAGTTTCCTTCTTTCGAGAAGGATGGCAGGGCAGAGTACGAGAACATACCGAGAGTAGCAAAATCCAAGTCCGCACGGATGTCGTCACCCATCAATTCTTCGAAGGCCGGGAAACCCCCCAGCCAGCCCACATTGTCATCCGCGTTGGGTCTATAGAGCGAGATAATAGTCGCAAGTAAGTCTGAAATCGCGAACCAAACCTCAAAGGCGGATCGGGAATGGGGGTTTGACACATGTGGCTTTTCGAGTCCAATGTCGCGGTCCGCGAGCAGAACAGGACGGCCACCTATACAAGCATGTAATTTGTCTAGGGTCCATAGACACCAAAAGAGATTGCATTTTGATTCGCCCAGGACCGTGCCTGGCTGGCTGTGGAGGTGGAGACCCGCCGTTTGGGCTTGGTGGATAGCGTGGCATATGTGCATAGAAGCAGCCTCTGCGCCCTCGTACCCTTCGCAGTGTAAAGACATCAGCGCGAGGATACGGATTCGTGTGATGCGATCTGACTCAAGCCCAGCGTCCATGGCAGCGACGAGACCGTTGTACACGTCTGAACAGAATTGTCGGGGTGTCAGAAGCGGACCATCCGTGACCAAGCGGAGGGAGGAGGTAGCGGCAGCGTCCTTCGCTGCAACAAGGCATATCGCCCTTTCTAGAAAAATAGAGGTCATTTCCCCCGAGTAGGCCCGGAGAAAAGTGTCTTCATCAACAAGAGGGAGAAGGTGATTCACTCTTGAGAAATGAACACGGATTAGATGATCTCGGGTCGAACGTGGAAGACGCTCGCAGGCTCTAACGGCCGACGCATACCGTTGCTGCAATGCGGATGCTACAGATTGTGCCGCAGGTGTTTTTCCATCCAAATAATCTGACAAGGCCGCATTTGGTTTGGATGATTCGCCATTGTCACCGACACCGTCAGGTGGCATTGGAGAGCTTATCCAAAGACCAATTCGACCGCGAAGTTGACCAACAGATGTGGCGTCAAGCTCCTCACGGATTAAAGCTTCTGGGTTAAGGTTTCCCACAAAACGGTCTGCTCGGCAGACATCTGGAGCCTCTGGGGCGGGCGTCTTGGGGGTGGATTGCTGATCAGATGCTGAGGATGCGCCTCCACTGGGATGGGGTGAATTGTGACTCTGATTTTGGCTCGGGCCATTGATGCCTATGCCCAAGTGACGGCAGCGTTTCTTTGAACGAAAAAACAGCTTGGGTCAGCAAAAGATATTTTCATTACCTGGGGAAGAAAAGCAACCTGCGCAGACACACCTTTCGTCGTTGACATGCGGCGCAAGCCCGTACAGCTCTTGTACGGCGCCGTGATTGAGGCACATCAGCAAGCCAAGTAAGTTCCATATCAATTAAGAAACACGCGGCGATGGTTGTTATGAGGCTGAATGAATTGGCTAGACGGGGAGCCGCTGAATAGCATAGCTTGTAGCTCTTTGGCTGAAGGATGGATGGTGAGAGAAGAGTTCCTGTGTAGTTAAACCGATAAGATAAAAGATACAGATCTCCGGAGCTGGTAATACATTTGCGTATAGGTACCCCGGTCAGAGCAGGTTGGGCCAAACCAACCACTCTCCTTAACCTGATTAATTCTTACCGATTGTAAACTTGCACTTCTAACCCGAACTGGATGCTGGAGGTAACCTGCCTGTGATCCTAATTTAGTACGGATCGGGCGGGCAAGGGGCGATTCTCTGGGAGCCATCCTTGCCACTCTACTGTAGTTTATATACCACGTCGGCTTTCCGTCATGGCTCCCAACGTAGTTTCCTGTATTGTATATGAAAGGTTTTTTTGATGCCTATGGCTCAACAACTAGTGGTTTATAGAAGTGAAGATCATAGGTATAGCTTAAGAAAGTAATCTGCTTATCATACTTCTAATTATAACCTGCTGAATAAGTTGTTCTTTCAGTACTGTCAATTACCTGAGGATTTTAGTGTTTTATATCGTTTGTTTATTGAAAGAGAATATAATCGATGATGCTTTATAAGACTAGAATGTAGGATATTTGACTATTCATCTATAGTGTATTTAAGCTACTTTCAAAGTGTTTGTTGTTGACATCTCTTTGGTACCAGAATATTTGGATAGTCGTATTTTGTACAACGCTCAAAACCCAACCTGGCTCAACCTGCAACTCCAATGCGGCCGGCAAACTGTGTTCACGATCTACCGGAGAGCCATATGACGCAGAATACGGTCCTATATGATGTGAAACTTGCCGCCCATAGAGGATAAGATACATCATGATCATAGATCACTGACCCCCAATAATCACCAATCAAGAATTTCATGCGTACTTGTCATCACAGACCCAAGTCATCATGATCTGAGACCTTGTCCAGTAGACACAAATACTACTCCCTACAATCTATCTCGATTGATCGGCCGTCTCAAGACGGGGCATACTGACGGTTATGCTCCAATTAGTGCCGTTGTGCGGAAGAGGTCCCAACGCGTCTCACGTGGCGACGCGTCTGGCGCGTGCGGGCAGAATGATGGCTCGAGGTCCGTCCTGAATTGACCTGTTCGTTTGCATTTGGTGATGATAGTTCTCATCTGTCATTGAATTCCCTTCTCTACACACTTACCCCTTTGTTAACTTTCAATCTGGGCTTTTTTGTGTCTATTTTGACACTGTCACCTGGGTGCTGAGCCGCGTTCTCGCCGAGATCCACTGTCGTCATCATCAAATTCCCAGTGTTCATCATTATTCTGGAAAACGCTTCCTTTGACATTTCCTATCCATTGGTTCTTGTGCGGCCAGAAAAGACTATTGGACACCCCCAGCTGGATTTTGTTCAACATGACCAACCCTGCGGGCCAGAAACGGGACGCTAATCATCTAACGACTTCAGCGGCCGATGCAAAGAAACCCAAGGCCAACGGCAGCATCACCTCCTTCTTCGGCGCCCCTAAATCCAAACCCGCCGATACAAAACCCTCAAGTCCGGCTCTATCAGGTGCCAAGCAGAAATGGATAGCGTCTCTGACACCGGAGCAGAAAGAGCTCCTGCAGCTGGAGATCGACACATTGCACGATAGCTGGCTGGTCCAGCTCAAAGAGGAGCTGGTATCCCCGGAATTCCTGAACCTGAAACGCTTTCTCTTAAATGAAAAGAAATCAGGAGCCCAGATCTTCCCGCCCGAGAATGAAATCTACTCCTGGTACGGTGGTCCTTGGCCCCTCATGGATATCCCTAGAGTCAACATCAGGCACTGACCACGCCCTACATAGGTCCCGTCACACGCCCCTACACAACGTCAAGGTGGTCGTCGTCGGGCAGGACCCCTACCACAACCACAACCAGGCTCACGGACTAGCCTTCTCCGTCCGCCCCCCGACGCCCGCCCCGCCATCGCTAGTCAACATCTACCGTGGCATCAAGATTGACTATCCCTCCTTCCAGCCACCACCCAACAAAGGCGGCCTTCTCACGCCCTGGGCAGACCGCGGCGTCCTGATGCTCAATACCTGCCTGACCGTTCGCGCGCACCAGGCCAACAGCCACGCCAACAAAGGATGGGAACGGTTCACCCAGAAGGCCATCGACGCCGTGGCGCGCGTGCGAACCCGCGGCGTCGTCTTCCTCGCCTGGGGCAAACCTGCCGGCAATCGCGTTGCGGGCGTCAACCGTCAGAAACACTGCGTGTTGCAGTCGGTTCACCCCAGCCCGCTCAGCGCTCATCGCGGCTTTGTAAGTACCACTTTCCCCTGGACTGGACTGTTGGATTGGGCGGGATTACTCTGCGTTGGGAGCTGGTCACTAATGGGGACTCATGGGTGGTGTAGTTCGATAACGGACATTTCAAGAAAACCAACGAGTGGCTGGCAGAACGCTACGGCGCGGATGGCGTCATTGATTGGAGTCTGACGTCTAAAGAAGAAAAGACGGACATGCCTTCTCCCGACATCAAAGATCCCTCGGCCCCAGTCGTGGAATCCAAACGTTCCGTAGAGAAGACGGAACCACAACCGTCGAAAACACCCACTGTGTCGAAAGCGACGGAGTCGGTCAAGGTCGCCGATGAATTCGAAGAGGATGATGACGTTTTTCAAGAGGATCCCGACGTTCTTGAAGCTCTAATGATGGAGCCAGCTCTGAGCTAGGATTCACGCTCACCTTGTCTTATGTCGATCATACTTTCTAGGCATGGATGATATGTCCCAGCCGTCTTTGTAATATAAGGAAGCCCGGAGTTTAATGGTGCATTTTGATACATTCTGCCGTCGAAGTCATGCCGCGTACGTAAGGACAACTCTATCTACTGCGCCTTAAGTCCACTACCCGCTAGGCTCCTGTATGGGTCTTGACCCTGTGTTATCAATTGGTTATGTCGGGGACAATATGTTCACTCAGCGAGCCACAAACTACACAGTATACAACTGACTACTTCCGGTTTGATTATAGTAGACAGAGTTTAGATTGACTACGACTGACTTGACTCAAGACAGATACACGTGTGGGACAAACAAGGGCAATGCGGTAAAACGATAGTTTACAGTATCATTCAGGAACTAGATTTCATCATCGTGATCAAGCGTTTAAAGCTCGTCATGGTCGCCGGTAGCGGCGGGAGCTTCGCTGCTCGAGGCAGACGAACTCTCGGCCGCATCCTCACCACCCTCCTCTGCCTTCTTCTCGGCAGCGGCCTGGGCGTCAACCTGGTGCTTGCCGTTCTCCTTGATGAAGTCGGCAAGGGCCTCGGGGGTGCGAGCGCCAGAGTACTCAACCGGCGAGTCCTTGCTGCCGGCGGGGTAGAGCTTGATGGTGGGGAACCCGGTGATGGAATCCGGGACGTCGTTGGCGGTCGCATCGATCTTGGCGATAGTGACCTCGGGGAAGTCAGCGTAGAGGGTGGCAAGCTCGTCGTACTTGGGAGCGAGACTGTTCGTGAAATCGATTAGACAGCTGTATGGCAACGTGTAGAATCGGGGGAATGGACAACTTACGCCTTGCAGTGGCCGCACCACGGGGCATAGAACTCGAGCAGAACGTCCTTGTCATTGTTGATGACGAGGTCCTGGTACGAGTGCGCCACGACGACGGTCGTAGGGCCCTCCTGGGTCTCAGGGATAGGCTCCGACTTGATGCTGGGCTCAACCTTGCCATCGAGAACGTTCTGGATGAACTTGCCAACATCCTTGGCCTTGATCTCCTTGGACTGGTCGTAGGGGTACTTGGCGTTCTTCTCGGGGTCCTGGATGGCAAAGGCAGGGAACCTTTCGGGGTCGAGGTTGAGGTTGCCGGCGTGGGCACCGAACATCTTGGCGTCAATGGTGGCAATGTTGATGGCACCCTTGTGCTTCTCGGCGATGGCCTTGAAGTCCTCGGCGTACTTCTCACGCTCCTCCTGGGTCTCGGCGAAGATGTAGGCCAAAGGAATGCCGGCCTGAATAGGATTCGATGTTAGATTCCCGATTTGCTAATTCAGTCTCGGCCCGGCGACGACCGCGTGTTCGAAAGACCAGCAGAGACGCGACGAGACGGATAACCGGGTACACTTACAGTGATGTAGTCGGAGTAGGTTTCGGGGCCGAGCTCACCAACAAGAGGAGTGCTGGCGGTCTTCACCCAGTCGAAGATAGCGTCCTGTTCCAGATCACCCTTGTAGATGGCCTTCTTCTCATCGAAATCCTTGTACAGAACCAGAGAGGGCTGCTTAACACCCTCAGCCTTGGCGATGGCGGCATCACTGGTCGACGCGAAGAGGTACTTATCCCTCTGGGACTCGGCAAAGGATGTGAACGCCTCGTTGCTGCTCTTATCGTCGGAGTCGATGTAGCCAATGACCACAATCTTATCCATCGTCTTGACCTCTTCCAGGTTGTCTTCGGTAACGGTCGAAACCGCGGGGAGGGACTGCTTGACCATGTACGACACGAGCCTACAGCAATGAAGGTATTAGCAACGGGCCTTTCACTCCACAGTACAGAACGCGACAAACTTACGCATCCGCCTGGCGGGCACCCTGGTAGGGCTTCACATCATCAAGACCACGGAAGATCTTCAGGGTGGGATAGCCCTCGACACCCTGGCCACGGCACACTTCCTCCTCCTCGGTGCAGTCGACCTTGACCAGCGCGATGTCCTTCTCCTTCAGCTGAGTAGCAGCTTCCTCGTACTTGGGGGCCAGAGCCTTGCAATGACCGCACCAGGGAGCGTAGAACTCGGCCAGGACCAAGTCATGCTCCTTGATGAACTCGTCGAAGTTGTCCTTGGTGAGAGAAACCACATCCGACTTGACCTCGGGCTGGTCATCAGCAGCCGAGACCACCGCAGTGGCGCTCAGCAGGCTGAGGAGAAAAGGCGCGACAGACCGCATTGTGTTCTGTCCGGCTTAGAAAACCTCGGACGGTGTACAGAAAGAGGGAAGAAAGCTAAACAAAGTGGATAGAATACAAATGAATTCACCCGTCCTCACCAAGGTTCTAGAGATGTGTTAGGATGGAGTGGAGCAGAAAAGTGAAAAAGAGGAGCAGGAGTAGAAGAGGAAGAAGCTCCGTTAATTAAGTAGGTGGTGAGCCAGCCATGCAGCGGAGTTGAGGACAGTTTGTTCTTTCTACAGTCAGCTGCTCTAGCGTCTCCTCACTGGCTCTTTTGGCTCCGGGGCAGCAAGGGATCCTCCCATCCCCCCCCACTCGGTGAATCACGGTTTATATTGATTAGTACTAGTGGTACCTGTTTATAATCATGAACCAAGATCGACCGACCCATCAGCCCCCCTCCAAACAAACATCATGGACTCAGCCTCCCTGTGGTCAGCCTACGAAGGGGCCAATTATCATGGATATTAATAGTGATCCATTGGATCGTCTCGGGCTGACGGGCCTGACGGGCGCAAATCAAAAACAAAGTCGATACTATTTTTATATCAGCCTCTCTGGCCAGGTGTACACAACTTTCATTATTGATGATTAGTCAGAAACAGACCCAGCCCTGGTTTGTCTCTTCATTTCATTCCGGAGACTCCTCGGGCATACCAAGGATTATTACTTTGTTAGCGTGTAGTGTGTGGAGACCTGTATGTACCTACAAATGCATCCAAGAGCCTCACCTTCTGTCATAGGGAAAATGACACGTTACCTCAACAGAGAAACATAGCCACACACTGTAAGACTGTCGGGTGGAGCTGGTGGGACACGAGTGCTTGGTTTCTTTAAACAATGAATATGATTAGAGGCGCAGAGGGCAAGATAATGGAAAGGATGCAAAGTGACAGTATGAGAGCAACCCGGGAACACCTGTGTATGCAAATAACCGCAACTTATAACCGGTCGCATTGACATCTACTACCCGGTGCTCCGTAGCTTACAGCGCTACATATGCAGTACAGTGACAATCATAGAAGAACATAATTCATCGTGGAGGGTCCTCTTTCACCATTCTCAGTCCTCCATTGCCGCAGCGTCGACACGGTCGGAGCCAGGTGGGACGTGGGAAATCGTTCCGTAGTCAGGAGCGCCCGTCTCCTGTCTGCCATCTAAATCGGCTGATAATCCAAGCGCGTCACGCTTGCCCCGTTCTACATCCACCAGGAACATGAGCGGCAGGGGCAGTCCGATCAATACCGCCAGGAATAGGAACGCTGGTCGAATATCGCCGTAACGGTCCGTGATAATGCCCACGATAGCGGGTCCGAAGATGCTTGAGCCCTTGTCGGTGATGGCGTAGAGCGCGTAGAAAGCCGCTTCATAGCCCGGGGGGATCAGCTCACCAAAGAAACTTCGACAGTATGACGACAACCCGCCCATGACAAGGCCATACACGACCCCCAGCGGAAACATTTCCCAAGGCTGTTGAAGTCCAAGATACCCCAGGTCCTTCACGGCTGGGATAAACCCCAAGAGGCCATAGAGCGGGATAAGCTCAAACAACATGATACATGCAATGATGGTCTGTGACGCACGGAGACCGAAGACTCGCGATACATAGCTCCAGGAAAATGCGCCCAGAACTCCTGCAACCATTGTAATCACATTGATCAACCCTAAGGTGGCAGGCTGCATCTGAAGCTGTGTCTTTGCAAAGAGAACCGCGGTTCCACTCACGGTAGCTATTCCGTCACTGAGGAGGAACCAAGCCGCGAGGAATAACAAGATATCCTTTAGACGTCGAGCCCGTAAGGCCGTTCGACCTAATGACTTCCAGGCATATATGATGTATTTGAGCCATGAATAGCTTTGCTTCCCGTCCCCGGAGAGTGGTATGGGTGGCCCAGGCCGAGGGCGCAGCCAAAGGGCAGCTGGGATGGTGAAACTGAACCACCAAAGCCCGATGAGGAACAAGGCGAGGCGCAGTGAAAGTGTGGTTTGATTGGTTTTGATGACGACAAGGATGCAGATTACCTGGAGTATAACCGAACCGATGTACCCAATACCAATTCCATATGATGATATCCGGGTGGAAAGCGATAGTTCTCGTGAAGTACGCATGGAAGTTTGCTGGGCTGTTGCTCCCACAGAAGCCCCGTGATCAACACGATCAGGCTGCAGCAATGGTGCCGTTTCGTCGCTTCCAATATGGCGAGAGTTATTTGTTCTATGAGAATCCGATCCAGCCGAATCTGACGGGGCCACTTCGTCATCTTCCTCGGACAGAGAGGGGTGGTGACGGACTAAAAGAGGCAAGAATGAGTTTAACAGGACAAAGGACGCCCCAAAGCAGGTATTCGCCACGATTGCGAATAAACTGGCGAGAAGATAAACGCTAGGCGTTACTGAGAGAAATAGCATTGTAGCAATGGAGCCAATGAGTGCAAACGTAATCAGGAGGATCTTGCGATGGTTCCCATGGTCCGCAGCGCCCGACATTGATACTATCAGAATCGCCTGCACGAAGACACTGAGCGAGAATGTGTACATGGCGAAACTGGCTGTGTTGATTTCGAAACCAAGGACATCCACCACACATTGGCTTGTACGGGACACGGAGGTCAGAGTATCACGGTCCATAGCTGATGTTCCTGAGCCGTGCCAAGTAGTGCTACATGGAGTCGTTTTATCTGACAGGAGGACGCCACGGTCTCGAGCCATCTGCTCTAGGGTGATGGGGAGGAAAGACCCTGGAGAATAACGATCAACAGCTGGAGTATATATTTAAAGCTATTGAAGGGTCAACTTACCCATCGCGCACACGGTGAAGACCTCGGCTGCCCATCCATAGCTATACCACCCAGCAAGCTCTTTCTTGCTCGTTGGTCGAGTGTCATCGCCTGGGTGTTGGGAAGCTCGAGAGCTGATCCCAGGCATCTGGCTTGCCGGCATACTGGTACCAGATGAGCGACGAACAATTTACATCCTCGACCCTCAAGGAAAGTCGATAGACCGGAATTCGTGATGGAAGAGAGAGAATGGCGGAGAGAGGACGCCGCGTCGAGGTGATTACTAGGGGTAACTTTTGTATGCTACTCGGTACAGCCTGGAAACAGATCAGCAGATACGTCACTGGACCACAACAGAGTCCATATTCAATCAGGTATACCAATCTGGGAGAGAAGTACATTACTACCACTGATGTAGGTAGATATGTAATGATTAACACTTAGAGATACATAGTTACGTCTAACTGGCTACTTTGTATATGTATAAACTGATAGATGTAAGACATCTACTTCAAAGTACCGACCTAGGTACCTTGATATTTAGGATATAATAGGATGGGCTAGCCAGAACGCCCAATCTGTCTGATCACTTGATGTCTGTCAATTGCTTACAATAAACTACAATCGTCCTCTCTTGACTCCGTACATCTGGATGAACTTCTGAGCTTCACTATGGCGTGGGTATACACTAAGAGCGATTGTACATGTAAGGTATGTGTCTGTAATTACACGTATTGATTACCAGGTCAATCTGAGCATGTAAGGCACCAAGGCCGAAACTCCACCCACCAATCAGCGGCCAGGCGGACAATCTGCCTGGTCAACCTGAGGCTGCTCTCGGGCTCTTCCGCCCTCACGCATTTGCATGGCTTTGCGCAAGCTTCATTCATCACCCACTCTATCCTTGCCATCTTGCCAAACACGCCGGTGATTTTGTTGTCTGCCACACTGGAGTCACCTCTATAATCTCTCTGGCACTTCCATCCCGGCATCATCATCACAAAACCTTGACATCATCCCCTTCTCCGCCGTCGCTCTCCGTTGCCCTCCGTCGCCCTCTCCGTTTTGCGACTTCGTTTTTTCCGACCAGCAACACACATCGCCGGAGTGGTTAGAGATCGAAATTGGGAGCGAATGGTTTAATGCTTATTACACTTTTGAGGTAGCTCGCATTACGGTCAATTTGATGACTTGCTGAAAAGAGAAAAACTGTCGCGGTTTAATGCGCCTGCCGTTGGGTTATTCGCGTTACCTGGTATTGCGCGGGCTGGAACAACCACAGACGGATTTCGCCTGAGGCTAATATCGTACGCCTTCTTATTACACATGGCCTAACTCTGAGGCACCCAGTCGGACAGGGAATATTGCCAACTCTCCTTTTTCACCTCGGCACCTGTTGGTCTGCCTCCGCCCGGTTGCTGGTCAGAGGGGGTGAAGGAGGAGAACCTTGAAAGCCACTCGCCGAATCGCATCCAGACATGCCGGGGGTCGTCATGGATAATGTCAATGCCGGTGGGGTCAAGCCGAGGGCAGATGTACAGGACTCCAGGAATGGCATTGCACATCCGCCTGGCAGTACAGGAAACATCCAAAACGGCTCATCACACGTCAACGGAGGAATAGACGACCAGGATCACAAAGCAGCTGTTGTCCCGGCTGTGTCAGCTCGAAACCCGCCAGAGTTATTGCACATAACCCAGGGGTTCTTCCCTTTTTCCACATTGATAAATCGTTCGGTGCAACAGTGCTGGAACGACTTATCCGAGTTAATAACAGAGCTGGCTGAAGTTCAGGTACCATCACAAGGGTCAGGCTCACCAACATCAAACCTCAATGGCAAGACACCGGGAAACCAGAGCCCGGAGAATCTCCAAAAGAAACTTCGGGTACTCAATTTTGCCCATGCGAAGCGGGCAGAATTCATCAAACTTCTTGTCCTGTCGCGATGGAGTCGGCAAGCAGCCGATGTCAGTAAATTGATTGACCTTCAAAATTTCATCCGCATACGCCATCAAGCCTACGTTGGCGCTCTACAGTCGATTGGGGATATGAAACGGGATTTAGTTCAAGCTCAAGTGGCCAATCCGGATCTTCAAACAGCATTGGAGGTATTGTCAAAGGGCCAAGTAGTTTCAATGCCAGATGTAAATCACCCCGTCCTGCTTGTTTCGCAAATTCGATCTTTGACTGATCTTTTCCCAGCTAGGGTACAAACCTCCTAGGCCATTGACAGCGAAGGGTGCTTTGAAACGGCTCAAGAAGATCAATCGGATTATAAGCGTGAGGCTAGCGTTACATGACGCTGTCCCTCCAATTCTCAGGACTTACCATGTTCACGACGGCAGGGTTACGTTTTCCGTACCCGGGGAGTTTGAACTTGATCTGTCAATCGGAGAGGAAAATGAACTATCCCAGTTCTATTTCGTCGATGTGCGCTTTTTATTCACCCCATCGTCGCCAATACCCAGCGGTCGAGTGTTCAACGAGCTTGATATTAGAATCAATGAT